ACCATATGGCAAAGAGTCTGTTCTGAACTCCCTGGAGGAAAACATACCTCTCCCCATTCAGCGTGTGTCTGACTCTAGAGCCCACACCCTGTGCAGTGACCCCTTGGGGTAGCCCTGCAATGGCAGTGACCCAACCTCCATGGTGTGGAATAAGAAGCCAAAAGTCTTGTGTTTTTCTCCATCTGTTGCTTGGCAGGAGGCCTTCGATGTGCTGGGCTTCAGTGCAGATGAGAAGATTGGGGTCTATAAGCTAACTGGGGGGATCATGCACTTTGGGAACATGAAGTTCAAGCAGAAGCCCAGAGAGGAGCAAGCTGAAGTGGACACCACTGAGGGTAGGTGTTGGGCTGGGTCTGCACAGGGGCCAGGCAGCTGGTGGCAGGAGTTCTCTGCTCTCCCAGCTTGATGGCCATTTCAGAGACATGTTGGAGATTCTCAGGCTCCCTGATGGCTGTAACCAAGGCATTCCCTGAACAGTCAGACATGGATCTTCTCAGAGAGGCAGAAAGAGTCAGAGTATGATCCCAGTTTCTATCCCCTACTTTGCCACTTGACCCTGAGAAAGTATGGAAACCACCTAAGATCTTTGTTTTCTTTTTGGCAAAACAGGGTCTCCCCCATGCTCCCTTTCCTCCTTCCAAGACCACACAGGAAGGTACTGGGTGTCTCCTGGGCTTGATGCCATCTTCCTTTCTCTCATTCACTTTCTCCATCTCCACTCAGTGGCCGACAAAGTCGCCCATCTCATGGGACTCAATTCCGGGGAACTCCAGAAGGGCATCACCAGGCCCCGGGTCAAAGTAGGCAATGAGTTTGTGCAGAAAGGCCAGAACATGGAGCAATGCAACAACTCCATTGGGGCTCTGGGCAAGGCCGTCTATGACAAGATGTTCAAGTGGCTGGTGGTCAGGATTAACAAGACCCTGGACACCAAGATGCAGAGGCAATTCTTCATCGGGGTGCTGGACATTGCCGGCTTCGAGATCTTTGAGGTATGCCTGGCCTCCTGTTTGGTTTCTGCTTTGAAGTGGCCATCCTTTTGTGAGCTCCCCTTCACCATGGTTGTCTTGTTTCTTGCCTGGAAACCTCAGGGATGGGACAATCTCAGATTGCCATTGGATCTCTGACTTTTGGACTCTAGAAATTTCCATCTCGTTTCTATGAAGCCAAGTCATAAAGAATGGTATAGACTATGGGCTGGGGCTGGGGCTCAATGGCAGAGTGCTTGCCTTAAATGTGTGAGGCTCTGGGTTCGATCCTCAGCACCACATAAAAATACATAAACAAAACAAAGACACTGTGTTCATGTATAACTTAAAAAAAAAAAAAAAGAATGGTATAGACTTAATGGATAGAATGAGTAGGTGCCAGAGCTGACATGTCCTGGTTCACAAGAGCTGATTGTTGAATTTTCAGGAATTTCAGGAATTCTGAAAGTTGACATTGTGTTGATCGCTTGAATATTTACCTCATAGACACTGACAAACACTCAAAATCAGAGTGTCTTCTGGTTTAAGGGACAGGACTAGCTTTATCAGTATACTACAATTATTATATTTTTGGATATTGAGGATTGAACTCAGTGGCACTCGACCACTGAGCCACATCCCCAGCCCTATTTTGTATTTTATTTAGAGATAGGGTCTCACTGAGTTGCTTAGTGCCTCACCATTACTGAGGCTGGCTTTGAACTTACAATTCTCCTGCCTCAGCCTCCCAAGCCACTGGGACCAGGAGTGCACCACTGTGCCTGGCCCTACAGTTATTTTTGTTCACCATGTGTGCTAGAGTCTAGGTGCCTGGGATTCAGGTCTCAGAATCCCCACTGCAGAGAAGGGGAACAGAATCACATCTCACTGGGCTGCTGGGACCGTGATCTGGTTGGTGTCAAGGCACAGAGGGCCGTGCCTGATTCTGGTGGGCCCTCCACGCATCCTTGCTCATGCATGGCTTCCTCAGCCACTCCTGGGAGCAGCTCTCTCTGAACCTGGGCTGATGACCTCTCTCTGTCCTCCCACCACAGTTCAACAGCTTCGAGCAGCTGTGCATCAATTTCACCAATGAGAAGCTGCAACAGTTCTTCAACCACCACATGTTCGTGCTGGAGCAGGAGGAGTACAAGAGGGAGGGCATCGAGTGGACCTTCATTGACTTTGGCCTTGACCTTCAGGCCTGCATCGACCTGCTGGAAAAGGTGACCTGCTTCTCCGAGAAGGGGCTTGGAGAGAGGCCATAGCCCTAACTGGGACATGACTCAGGAAAGGATGTCACTGGGGCAGACAGAAAGGTGGCAATTGGCCTTGGGGCAGTTAGTAATGACCTCAAGAATATATATTGTTTATTTCAATGTGGAAAAAAAAAGATAGGAAAAAGACATAACAAAATTTGAACAAAGTCTGTTCATAGTATTATATTCATGTTAACTTCCTGGTTTTTATCATTGAACACCTGGTGTTTAAATTCACATTAGGAGGGGTTGGGTCAAGGGTCTATGGGAAGGCTTTCTGTTATATGTGCAACATTGCAAGCCTGAAATTATTTCAATGTTAGAAGTTTTGATGTTGTTGTTGTTGTTGTTGTTTTTAAAGGAAGGAAGAGAGGGAGGAAGGGAAGGAGGGAGGAGGGAAGGAAAGATTGATTCTGTCTCCTAGGCTTACCCTCGGCCAATTGTATTTAGGCATCAAGGCAACCAAGGGTCTCCACCATGGGCCCAGTCTGAGCCTCCCAGGAGGGTAGACTGTGAGCACAATCCCTGCACCGCTCAACACCTACAAATACTTTCCTGTTCAGCTATCCCAGAGCCTGAACTATCTTCATTCTTGAGCTTTGGGGTTAGGTGTTGCCCTATTTCATCAGTCCTCTTTTAAATCCAGACCCCCCTCCCATGTATAGGGGGCAAATGAGGTCCCTAACAGCATTTATGAGCACCTCATTTTGTGTGAAAAGAGACTTAGAACAGCATGAGGCCCCTGGTAGAAAGAGATAAAAAAGAATCAAAAGAAGAGCATTAGGTGTCATTGACTTCAGCATTTTTCTGAAGGTCAAGTGTGCCCAGGGCCACTGTTCCCATGGGTTAGCTTTTGAGGAGCTCTCTGGCCCCTTCAGTCTTCAGTCTCCCCTTCGGTCGGATTCAGTGGATTCCAGCCTCCTTCATGTCTAAATGGCCGTAGTGTTTGAAGATGAGGACATGGAATACCAGGAGCTATTCCCAGCTGTCATTGCCTAGAGTTCTGCTTCCTGGACCTCCACATGGGTGTCTGGTTCATCTCCACCACTAGTCCCTGGCCCAATACCAGTGTGGTCTCTTTGAGGTTCTGTGGCTTCTCCTAACACCATCCTGTCCTCTTCCCTCCTAGCCCATGGGTATCTTCTCCATCTTGGAGGAGCAATGTGTCTTCCCCAAAGCCACGGACGCCACGTTCAAGGCAGCCCTGTATGACAACCACCTGGGCAAGTCCAGCAACTTCCTCAAGCCCAAGGGAGGCAAGGGCAAGGGGCCTGAGGCCCACTTCGAGCTCGTCCATTATGCAGGCACAGTAAGTTCCAGCCTGGTGCCTTCTGGGACTACCTTCTGGCTGCTGGCCACCCCCAGCATTTAGGACCTGATCTACCCCTCCAGAGGTTCCTTCCATGATGTATAGGGGTTCTCAGCCAATTAAATGGACTCTGGCTCTTACCTCCTCATCACTAGTCCATCAGAAAATTCCAAAGCAATCCAGCAAAGGACTGGGGATCAGCCAGTAGATCATGCCATCAAACCTACCAGGGATGCCACAGTATCTATGGCCCTCAGTCTGATGGCCAAATGTCAGTCTTGGCCAGAAGTGACAGTGCTTTACCTTCCATGAGCCCATGAATTACTCCCAACTGAATAATTTGTCCCTCTGACAGCAGGTAGCAGCCAAAACAATAAGGCGACTTCTGTAGAGTAGCTTTTTTACTCATGACAAATGCAGTCCTTGGGAAAGAGGGAAATTAAGTGCAGTCAGGACTCAGGTTCTGTTTGTATAACGAAGAGGGGTTGTAATGTTCGTCCAGCCAGCTTATAAGAACATGTAGGATTTCCTAGGGATTTTGATATTGCTAGAAGGGCCAACACTCTTGTTACCAATAGAGTTTGTTGGGCCTCTTGGGTTTAACTGCAGGGAAACAGCTGCCTGAGGATAGCACTGTCAGGAAAGCCATGATTGCATTGGGCATCAGGGCCAAGATTTTATATCATCAACCATAACAACACCAATTACTCTCAAAATGGATCAGGCTGATACGCTGAGCAAACAGCAGGCTTGGAGCCAAATTGCAGTGCTCTGTCCTCGCCTTTCCCACTGAATGAGAAGAGTTCCATATTTATAGCAATGAAATATTTATTTAAAGTCAAGGCCCTAGAATAAGGCACTAAGATGATTAATGTTGATATGCTGAATAGGAGTTGGAAAACCCAAAGGTTGTGGCTTCTCATCTACTTTCTTGAGTCTTCAGTGCTCAGTGGAAGGATCTGGGGCCACATGGCAAAATGGAAAATGGAAATTAGTATGTATCCAATTACTTGCATATATGGAGCCCCCAATCCTGGGGCTGCCTCCTTCCACCAGGCAATGACCCTATAGCATTATCATAGGGAACATATGCTCCTCAGAAAAGAGATACCTGAAGCCTCTGGAGAGATTTCTTCATGTAGGTCAGGATTCCTCCTGCCATGGCCATTCACTCACAGCAAGCCCAGAAGACCTGAGACTAGGGGAGGCTCAGTGTGGCTGTCAAAGGTCACAGCCCAGGAGAGAGTAGCCAGGGAGTCCTGGTGCATGGGCAGCACTGAGAGATGGAGTGTCCTAGACAGACAAACTGCAAATGCCCAAGAAACTAGATAACGAGGTCCCCAGCTCAGACTGGGACTCAGCCATCCCAGACACCATGAAATGCATCAGGACAAGAACCAAAGCTCCAAGAGAGGGGACAGAAGGCTGGTCCTGGGAGCCCATAGCAGGCAGAGCATTAGGTGGAGGTTCCAGGTATAGGACCTGGAAAGGGGAGGCTGGGCCCCAAGCTTACCCACTGGCATTTGCCTCTCCCTCCAGGTTGGTTATAACATCACGGGCTGGCTGGAGAAGAACAAAGACCCCCTGAATGAAACAGTGGTGGGCTTGTTTCAGAAATCAACTCTGGGACTCCTGGCCCTTCTCTTCAAAGAAGAGGAGGCTGCAGGTATGACTGGCCTCTCCTGATGTCCAGTCTTCCTAGTCTGTTGCCCTTTAATAGCCAAAATGGGGAGAAAGAAATAAAACTCTGTTATTCAACTCTTGTTGAATGAGGAACAAGTAAATGAATGAATGACAAGAAGCTCAAGGTAGGCCACGGTTGATCCTACAATAGAAAGATGTCGAAGGGTGGAGCCTCCATCAGCTGAACTGATCATTGATCCTGCATCAGCTCTAGGCAGAACGATGCTGCTTTGTAAAAGCTGACACCCAAATGCCCTGTGCTTATTTTTTGTTCCCCACTCTCTTGTCTGAAGCAAATGTCAAGCCCAGCACTACTCTCTAGCCCCCATGTAGCCCAAAGGGGAACATCCCAGGTGGAAGCTGCCCCAAGGGATTGCCACTCAATTAGACATAAAATGCCAATCCTCTTGGGCTCAGTGACATTTCATCACCAATAAACACATGCTTCCTCCTTCATGGGAAAAGTCTCAAAGACCTTGTGCCAGTCCTAAAGTACAAAGAGCTATATGCTTTTCTGGGGGCACAGAATCCCTCTGACAATTACACCACAGTCAGCCCATCTGCCAACTCCTTGGTAGATTTCATTTTCCTGGTGTCAAGGGTTTTACCTCATTTAGTCCCATGAAAAGTCTCTTTTGCGGGGGGCGGGGGGTGGAGATTGAACTCAGGGCACTCCACCATGAGCCAACCACATCCCCATCCCTATTTTGTATTTTCTTTAAAGACAGAGTCTCAGTGAGTTGTTTAGCGCCTTACTGTTGCTGAGGCTGGCTTTGAACTCGTGATCCTCGTGCCTCAGCCTCCCGAGCCACTGGGATTAGAGGCGTGCACCACTGTGCCTGGCCATCCCAAGAAATTTTTTTTTTTAACTTCAGAAAATGCATGTGCTTTGGCCCAGAACACTTAATGGTGCTACTGGCCCCTGTGCTGGGTACTGATGCAAAACATGCTTGTCTCTTCCTCAGCTGGAAGCAAGAAGCAGAAAAGAGGGTCCTCCTTCATGACAGTCTCCAACTTCTACAGGGTGAGTAGGTGCTGCCCAGAGGCCTCCTAGAGTCCAGTGTCCCTATCCCTCCCTTTCAGTGGTGTGATGGTCTAGCTGCTCTTTCATAGCCAAGGGCAGTTTTTTGCCTTTGAATGGAGAGGTGTCTTATTTAAAGAGTCTTTCTTTCTTTCTTTCTTTCTTTCTTTTTTTGTACAAGGGATTGAACCCAAGGGTCCTTAATCATCCCCAGCCCTTTTTACTTTTTATTTTGAGATAGGGTCTCACTAAGTTGCTTAGGGCCTTGCTAAATTGCTGAGGCTGGCTTTGAACCTGCAATCCTCCTGCCTTAGCCTCCTGAGCCACTGGGATTACAAATGTGCAACACTAGACCTGTCTTTTTTCCCTTCCAAAGAGGCCACAGAATCATAGGATCACCAGATGGGAAAGACCCTTAAAGAGGGTCCTGTCCAATTATATACTTTTCAGACTGAAACCTGGAGAATTAAAGGAATTTTTACAACATGGCAAACAAAGATATCAATGCCCAGTCCAGGGCAGTGGTATATGCCTGTAGTACTACCTACTCAGGTGGCTTACCAGGTAGGAGGATGCCTTGAGTCCAGGGAGTTGGAGCCAGCCTGGGAAACACAGAAAGACCCTGTCTCAAAAAAAAAAAAGAATGTTAAGATATTAGCGCCAAGACCTTGTGTCCAAGAAGTGACTGACAGGACTTCTGAGCTGGCCACAACTTCCACAAAGTTTGGTCATTACTGGAAATATGTGACAGAGTGCAGATGTACAGTCAACAAGGAAAGGCTGAGTGAAGACTTCAGTATTTCCCAAGGTTTAGGCTGCCCCCGAGTCGAGTGGGCCACCTCACCAGTCACAAGCCATGGAAAAGGGGCCCTCTGTTGGGGAAGTTAATAGAAGGCAGAATCTTGCCCACTCAGACCCTGCGGTCCTTTCTAATACTGAGATCCTACATGAACCAGCCCTGGATCAGGAGAGGCCTTGTTTCTGAGAAATCATATCCCCTTGGACCTTGAGAATAGCTCTGTCCAACAGAACTTTCTGCAGGGGTGGAAACGATCCCTTCAACACTGTCCAGTATGATGGCCACTAACCCCATGTGGCTACTAAGTACTAGAAAAGTGGCTGGTGTGACCTGAGCACTGATTTTAATTTTAACTTATTTAAACTCCAACTACTTCTGAGTGTGAACTGCCCAATAATACCAATGCTGAGTCTTACTTCCTGTTTTTCTTTTTTCTCCATCCCCAGGAGCAGCTGAACAAGCTGATGACCACCCTCCACAGCACTGCCCCCCATTTTGTCCGCTGTATTGTCCCCAATGAGTTTAAACAGTCAGGTACATGGTGGGGTCATGTCTCCCTGCTGAAACACCGAGGGTCTGTGAAGTTAGCATTCATTCCCAATTATGTCCACCTTTAATCGCCAGGGCTGATGAGGACCAAAGAAGGCTCAGAAAGAATCCCCAACAACAGTTCATCCCAAAATCATGTTCTAGCTGCTTTATAAAGCAGAATGGTGACTACCCAGCCAGAAATCACAGTCAGGGAGTAAACTTTAAGCACTGGTTAAATTGTGGGGGATCTGGGGACCCCCTGGACAGTGATAGGAGAGGACTGGAATTGACAGCATAGTTGTCTAATTCAGCTTCCTTGGGTGGCAAAGACTGGACTGTCTCACCCCAAAGCAGTGACTTTCCATTCTGTGTTTCCTCTCTTGGCAGGTGTGGTGGATGCCCACCTGATCATGCACCAGTTAGCTTGCAATGGTGTCCTGGAAGGCATCCGTATTTGCAGGAAGGGCTTCCCAAACAGGCTGCAGTACCCAGAGTTCAAACAGAGGTGAGTGGTGTGTCTCCCTGACGCCTTGCACGCAGAGCTCTGTGTTTGAGGGATTGACTAGCAGATCAGTAGAGTCCCATGATAGCACTCTGGACTCCCTGCCTCGTTGTCGCTGCTTTAGTGAGTGTTGGCCCAACTTTCAGCTACCAGCACCTGCACTTCTTAGGCTCCTGGAGCCTGTTTTGCCCCTCCCTGGAAGACTGAAAGTCTTAGGAATTACAAAAGACTCAGCTCCCTCCCGCTCCCAGTGGGCTAAGTCTGGCTTTCAGCCAGTATCATACTGGAAAAGGTTGAACAAGGGTTCTTCAGGTTTAAAAAAAGAAGAAGTCCCAATAGGTAGGAAATTTGATGTAAATTTCCATGGTGTAAATACTGGCCATCTTCCTCAGTAGCATTAAGATCCTATTGCCCGGCCTGGGGATGTGGTTCAAGCAGTAGCAGGCTCGCCTGGATGCGTGCGGCCTGGGTTCGATCCTCAGCACCACATACAAATAAAGATGTTGTGTCCGCCGAAAACTAAAAATAAATATTAAAATTTCTCTCTCTCTCTCTCTCTCTCTCTCTCTCTCTCAAAAAAAAAAATCCTATTGCCCATTGAGATCCCTACCTTGATAACATGGCTTTCTGCCCACTTCCCGATACTACCACTTACCAAATAAATGACTTATACTTGAATTTTTGTCTGAAGGTCTGCACCTGGGGAAACTAAGCTAAGATCCTCACCTTAGCGATGACCTTCTTCCACACCCCAACTTCATAGAACACATGGCCACAGATAGAAGGACCAAAAAGATCACTAGAAGTCACCTTGTCATTAGAAGTTCCTCCCTCTAAAGTTCTCAACTGGGGAAGGACTTGTCCACTATCACAAAGGAGGCTACTGACAGTTCAGGAAAAGAATGTGTCCTCTGCCTGGGCCAGTGCTCTTTTCTGTACTCCCAGCTCTATCAGGAAGGAAAAGACTTTGGTTTCTTCATTTCTTGGAATACTTCTTCTAGGAAATCCCAATGCACACCAACACTTACCCCCAAGTTGTAGCCCTTGTGCCAAATTCTATCATCCATCTGCCTAACCTGGATATCTATAAATCAAGCCTAATGCCTGTCTGCAAGACTCTCAAAGATCGGTGGATAATGCATGGATGTACTTTGTGTGCTGCCCATTTGGGTATGATGATAACTATCATCCTCTATCTCCTGGCAGGTACCAAGTGCTGAACCCCAACGTGATTCCCCAAGGGTTTGTGGACAACAAGAAGGCCTCAGAGCTGCTTCTTGCAGCCATCGAACTAGATACCAATGAATACAAAATTGGACATACAAAGGTAGGTGTTCTGGTGGGTATGTCCTCCCAACACCCACTCGGCTTTGCCCCAAGAAGGTGGGCTTCAGAGTACAAGCTATAGCTCAATCGCTGGGCAAGCCCCTCAGCCAATAAGAGCCTCAGTTTTCAGCTCTGAAAAATCAGAGCTGACAATACCAGTTTCACAGGATTTGGGGTTATTAGTGGCAGCTCACATAGAACCCAGCTCAGCACAAAATGGTACTCAGTCAATGGTAGGATATTTCTTAGAACTGTAGGAAGTCCCAGTTTCTAAAAATAAAAAGAGCCTATCAGAATGGAGGTCCTGGATCTGATGGAGCATGGCAGTGTGTGTGGGAAGGGCCTGCCTAGTGAAGCCCCATAATCCCAGCTCACCCACATGGGGAGTCCCAGTCCCTGAGCTGGCAGGTGACTCAGGCAAAGTGGCCTCCTGATCCTGAGTCATGGGGCCTGGGCCACCCTGTGTCTGTCCCATTTCCTGCTCTTCTAGGAAAAAAGGAAAAAGTCCTGTCAGAAGGGTGAGGACCATTCAGGTCAGTGGTACAAGACACCCATCTACAGTGGCCTCACCAGACTGGGCCCCAACATGAGTCAGGAGTACCAGGCTCAATGCCTGCCTCTGTGGGACCACAAGTGGATCACTTCCTTCTCCAAGTCTCACGTGTGATGCGGGTCTGATGTGGGAGCTTCTAGCCTGCACAGATCTCCAATGCATCCGGTCACTCTATGAATGCTCTTAGAGCACCTACTGTGTGCCAGGCAAGATTACAGACTTGAGGGATCCATGATGAGGACAGGATGAGTCTCCAGCTCCCTGGGCTTGCTTTACAACATTGTGTGTAGATCTGTAACACAGCCAGAACGGCTTGCTCTGGCCTCCTTCGTAATTAGAATGTGCCGTGTGTAGCTACGTTGACTTATGGAGGACACTTGAGGTTTTGTCACAGAATCATTGAATACTTGAGCTGAAAGAACCTTGGATACCAATGTGCCACTCCCTTCCCCACCCACCTTTGACAGATTGGAAACTTAAGAAAGCCTGGAGATGGGGGTGGAGGCAACATCACAGAACTAGGCAGGACAGTAGGCATCTAGGCCCATGTGGCCTAAAAACAAAAATCTGACACAGTCACTTGCTGAACAAACAGCTGTACCTTGGTTCCAGAGAAAGGCAGGGCTCTTGGAGACAGCTTTGCTCCCCAAAGACCAGGCAGACTCTGGCAGCAGGGGCAGAACAAAGAATAGGATGGTTCTACCTGTAGACTCTTTCCCTGTCCTTGGTGGTAGCTCACATGGGCCCCATGCCCAGCCACAGACCACATGCCCCCAAGACCACACCTCAAAGCCAATTAGTGTTGAAATATCAAGAAACACTTTATGACACCAAGATCAATTTCTCTGTGCTGTGATGTCTAGCTTATTAGGAGGAGTTTCTTGAAGAGTGGGGGGTGGGACACTTTCCTATTCTTTTTCCATTGAGACTCATTTGGTGGGGGATCTCATGGAATTGGAGGATTTGGGGGTTCTGTAATTAGCACTCTCGCTGAAGAGGAGGAAGGCCTAGCTCCCCACAAGAGAAAGGTTTGATCAAGGTCCCATAACACATTGAAGGCCCACTAAAGCAAGCATGCAGGTCATCATACCTCCTATCCTTCTACAAGTTTCTACCATTCTATTTCAAATATGTAAAAAGATATTACATTATCAAACATAATGAAAGAGCACCCACGAATCCACTTAAAAGCCCAGAATATAACCTTTGCTCCCCACTCCCAGGAGTAACCCCTGTTCTGAACTTTTACATTAACCATACCCTTGCCTTTTAAAACATAGTTTTCTTGCATATTCAGATTGCCCCAGGTGTTGCTTGGTTTTGAGTTTCATGGAAGTATCATACTTTGGTGTCCACTTCTATAACTTTCCTCTATGATGTCATTTCATCAATTAACTGTTCCTGAGATTCATTCTTGTTGATACATGACCTTCATTCATTGTCACTGCCACACCCTGTGGCTTTGGATGATCACATTTCTACTTTCTTCTTTCCATTTTTTTCTCAGTTACCAACCATGCTGCTATGGTCATCCTTGCCTGTGGTTCCTTATAGGAGATTCTCTGGAACAAAGCCATGCCTTAGAATTATCTGGAGGATTCTAAAAATTACCAAACCCTGAGCCCCATCCCCAAACTTCTATTTGAAATCCCACACGCCCAGGCCTCAGCATCTTCCAAAAGTTCTGCCAACAGGTGTGATGCGCTTCCAGGGCTGAGATAAAGGCCTGAGTAATGTGCAAACACCCAACTTGATGAAGGAATGCCAAACAGTTTTCCAGAATGCTAGTACCAGTTCACCCTCCCCTTTGTCTACACCCTCGTGAACACCTGTTTTATCACAAGTCTTAAGCATTGCAGGACTAGGCTGGGGCAAATGGCTTCTTATTGACCTTGATTTGTGTTTCTCTGAGGGTGGGTATTTCCAGCTCTTTCTAACACATTGCAAAGCTGACCTTGTTTTCCTGGGGATAAGTCCCACTCACTCACTGCTACTTGAAGCCTGAGGCCAAGTAGCCCTAGTAAAACCATCTTATTTTCATGAGAAATTTAATTCCCCTCCCCCCAAACTCTCCCCCTCTCCCTCCACCCAGATCCCATGGGACGCTGATGCAATGATTCTGTCTAAAGTCTGCTTTACATGATGGTGAAGAAGGAAGGCCCCTTGCTACCCTGGCTGCAGGGCAATCATCATATTATATAAGGATCTATCACATTTTACTTGGAGCCTTGCAGAACTCTTTTACCTATTATCTCATTTAATCCTTATAGCAATCTTCTAAGGAAGGGATTTGCATCCCCATTTCACAGAAGAGGAATCGAGACTGAGATGTGTCCAAGGTGACCCATCTAGGAAATGCAAAGCTGGAACTGGAGTCCAGCTGACTCCCAGAGAAGCCAGGGACACACTGACAAGAGGAAGCTGATGTTAATGCTGGCAGAGGTGTCCAGAGCTGGCCCCCTGTTTCCATGGAAACTTAAACATCAGCACCAGCACCAGCGGGTCTCTTAATTTCAAGACATGATGGCTCTTTGATTTAAAACTTCCCCAAGTAGCTGCCATTGGGAGATGGCTGGACTTTTTTCAGACAAGTGCCTCTTCTCCAGGTGTTCTTCAGAGCGGGCATCCTGGCCAAGCTTGAGGACATGAGGGACGAGCGTCTGGCCAAGATCATGACGTTGCTGCAGTGTCGACTTCGGGGTTTCCTCATGAGGGTCGAGTTCAAGAAGATGCTGGAACGAAGGTAGCACTCACAGACACCCACAGGGAAGGAGCACCACAGGCACACGAGGTGGTCAGCACCTACGGCTATACCACATGGTGGGAGAAGGGCAGATGCTCATGTCCTTGTCAGTGCCCAGAACCCCATTGAGGGGCTGTCTTAGTTTCCTGAGGCTGCTATAATTGAGTACCACCCTCTGGGTGGCTTGAAACCATGGGAATTCATGCTATCATGGTTCTGGAGGCCAAAAATCCAAGTCAAGGGGTGGACAGGGATATGTTCCTTCTGAAGCCTGGGTGGGGAGGGTCCTTTCTTGCCTCCTCCAGTCCTGGTAGCCCCAGGTGTTCCCTCGCTGCAAAGCTGTATCATGCCAATCCCTACCTATGTCTCCATTTGGGATTCTCCCTATGGGGCCATGTCACTGTCCCTCTCTTTTCTTTTTTTTTTTTTCATACCAGGGATTGAACTCAGGGGCACTCGACCACTGAGCCCCATCCCCAGCCATTTGGGATTCTCCCTATGGGGCCATGTCACTGTCCTTCTCTTTTTCTTTTTTTTTTTTTCATACCAGGGATTGAACTCAGGGGCACTCGACCATTGAGCCCCATCCCCAGCCCTGTTTAGTATTTTATTTAGAGATAGGGCCTCACTGAATTGCTTAGCACCTAGCGATTGCTGAGGCTGGCTTTGAACTTGTGATCCTCCTGCCACTGGGATCACAGGTGTTCACCACCAAGCCTGGTTCATCATCCCTCTTTCTATAAAAGCACCAGTTACCTTGGATTAAGGACCACCCTCCTCCCACATGACCTCGTCTTAACTAATTACATCTGCTCAGACCCTATTTCATAAGGTCACATTCACAGGCACTGGGGGTTAGGGCTTGAGGAGGAGCATATCTTTTCAGGGGGTGGGGGGGACACAATTCAACCACTAACAGAGAGCAACTGATACAAACCCTTCTCTCCCCAACCTACTGAGTCACATTCACAGCCTTTACCTTACTTGATCTATATAATGGCTCAGTAGGGGGTTGTGGTAGGACCAGCACCCCCATTTTACAGATGTGGAAACCAATGTCAGAGTGGTTAAGGAACTGGACCAGATACAGAATCAGGAACAGAACTCAGTGTTTCTCATTCCAAATCCCTACCCTTGGAATTTGTTTTTTTTTTCATCATTTCCCTAATGTGGTCATTTAAAAATTGCTGGGTCAGTGGCAGTTGGCCTGTGGTTGACTCTGGCTCTTTGTGGTCATAGTATTAGTTATGAATTCCTGTTACCCACCAGCAGGTCCTCTGTGACCCTGGCTGAAAGCAAGGACACCTCAGTTAGGGGCCAAGAGGAGGGATGTTGACCCTCATATCAACAAATGGGGGAAGCCCTCAGAGAATGACAGTCTATTTGAATGAAGCCACAGAGGACAGGGAAAGGGTGGGTTCCAGAAACTTTGCAGATTAAAGGGATTCAGAGACTAGTGGGTGATTTCTGATAAGAAAACTGAAGGAGAGAGAGTGCAGGAGTAAACCAGGGGTCTCTTTCATCCTCGAGCTCCGTCAGGGTCCACCTCACCTCCCCTAACCCATTGCAGGGCTTGGATCCCAGCCTGAGTCTCGCTGCCCCAGACCACGTAGGCAATGCTGGGTCTTGAGAAAGCACTTTAGTGTCTAGAGAAAATAAATCTATGGGCTTCTCTGCCCCAAACTTCTTGCCTGGGGAGACCAGGCCCTGACACATTTGAACTCATGAAATCCTGGATTTATTTTTCAGATTAGGCCTGAAAGTCATCCAGAGGAATGTGCGCAAGTTCCTACAGCTGCGTTTGTGGGGCTGGTGGAAGCTATACAACAAGGTGAGGGCTGGGGGGCAGGACAGTGGAGCCAGCTGCTGCCTGGGGCTGAAGAAGTGGGGCAAAGCTGGATCCTGGGCAGCGGTGTCCCTCGGGGAAGGAGGCCCGGGAGGCTGTAGGAACAGCCTGAAAATGAGAACCTAAGAAAAATCATGCTGTGCCTTCCCACCTTCCATTTTATCCCTCTAAATAAAATCACTTAGGATGGAGAGAGCCTCCACCCACCCTATCCTATGCCACCCCAAAAGTAGTTTGAGTTATTAACCCAGATTCCCCTAAGTATGTTGTGGCTATTTAAATCCTTTCAGTGAGTTCTTGGCCTCAGAACTTGAAGGAGCTCAGGAAATGATGGAATGGGACCTCACCCTTCCCAGGTTTTCCCAAGACAGTAGCGAAGGCATTGTGAGCAACCAGGTGGCTCTCAATCCCCGCAGGAGGTCACAAGCCATTCCACCATGTGGGAGTCCATTCATGTCTACTGTGGAGCCACCATTAAAAGGAGCATACCGGGGCTGGGGTTGTAGCTCAGTGTTGGAGAGCTTGCCAAGCATGTGTGAGGCACTGGGTTCAATTCTCAGCACTAATATAAATAAATAAAATAAAGGTCCATCAACAACTAAAAAATATATTAAAATAAAAAAAAGGAACATATTACGGGGCACAGTCGGGCATACATCCCAATGGCTTGGGAGGCTGAGGCAGGAGGATCACAAATTCAAAGCTAGCCTTGGCAACTTAGCACAGCCCTAAGCAACTTAGTGAGACCCTGTCTCAAAATAAAAAATAAAAAATAAAAAGAGCTGGGGATGTGGAGAGAAGCATCTTTGTAAGCTACATTTATGTATGTATGTATGTATTTACTGTACCAGAGATTAAACCCAGGGGCACTTAAGCACTAAGCCACATCCCCAACCCCCACCCCTTTTTTATTGTATACGAACTCAATGCCTTTATTTGTTTTTATGTGGTGCTAGAATTGAACCCAGTACCTCACACCTGCGAGGCAAGTGCTCTACCACTGAGCTACAACTCTAGTCCAACCCTTTTTATTCTTTTTTTTTTCAAAAGAATATTTGTTTTTTAGTTGTAGTTGGACACAATACCTTTATTTTGTTTACTTTTAGGTGGTGCTAAGGATAGAACCAGGGCCATGCACATGCTAGGCAAGTGCTCTACCACTGAGCCACAACCCCAGCACCACACCCCTTTTTATTCTTATTTTGAGACAAGATCTCACTTAAGTGGCTGAGGCTGGCCTCAAACTTGCAATCCTTCTGCCTCCAGAGCTCCTGGGATTACAGGTGGGCGCCACCATGCCCAGCTCAAAGGGTTTTTATGTAATGCTTGGATCCATCTCCTTCCCCTTACTATATGTGTCACCCTTTGGAATATCTAGATCAACAGCCTTTAAGGGTCATCCTGTGCAGGACACAGTGACAACAGATGAGGAGGAGGCTGAGGCTGGGAGTTTCCCTGCTCCTCACTAATTAAATGTGACAGATCAAGGTCCTATTCTAATTAGTTTTTCAAAATCCTTTACTCTTAAGTGTTTTAACTAAGCTCTAATCTTATTTAACTAAGCCAGACAGGACGGGTCAATGTGTGTGGGGTGGGGGAGATCCATTTCCACAGATTAAAAAGAGTTGCATGGCTGCAGGTTGTGGTGCTTATGATGACCTCCAATGTGCACATGGCCACTGTGGCATCCCAGATCCTCACCTTTACCTGTTGTCTTCCCTGAGAGGCCATGCTGCCTGGCAAATCCATTTCCACAGCGTCTGACATTCTTGGAAATGGATCTATTATGCTCCCTGGTGGCCTTTGTCCCTGGCTCTCCTCAGTATGGAATGAGCAGGAGGGGTAGAAGAGAGATCTTTGAGAGGCCCACACACTAACAGGACAGAGGAATATAAGTGATGCCACCTCAGGACCCTGGCACTCTGATGCAGGGTGAGAAGTGCCAAGGAAATTGAGAGGTCCAGATAGATGTCGTGGTGCAGGCCAACAGCAACTGCCCAACAGTAAAGAATGGCCAGCCCTACAGACATGGGGACAACCAGCATGGGCCAGAAGCAGGGAATACCTGCAAGCCAGCACATGGGATAAGCAGGAGCTACTATGTGGAAGGCCTGGGAGGCCAGGTTGAGAGTTGGGACTTTGTGTTATAAAGAAGATGAAGTGGGAGGCAGCAAAGAGGGACACACAGAGAAACAAAGTGACAGAGAAACAGAAAGGATAGAGAGAGAATATGAGAGAAAGAAAGTATACAAAAGGTACCCAAAAGGCATGGCAAAGGTATACATAGGGGCACCTGGATAATGAGGAACATCTAACTTCATGTCTCTTGGGATTAAGGAGCATCCTAAAAATTGGTCCTAAAGGGCTGGGGATATAGCTCAGTGGTAGAGGGTTTGCATAGCAAGGATGAGGCCCTGGGTTCAATCCCTAGTACCAAGGGATGGGGGAGAATTGGTCCTAATCAAGTATGGGCCTTCTTTGTGAGGAGAGAGGTACTTTGTGGCAAGGAACTAGGACTGATAGCATCTGTAGAGAGGCACTGTTCCTGCAAAACTATAACCACAGTGGTGTTCTGAGGTCAAGTCTGAGGCAGACACCCCTTGGCCCATCACCTAGGCCCCTGGCAAAGCCCACCCTCCTAACACTCTGGTGTTGCCTATTGCCCAGGTCAAGCCACTCCTGAATGTGGCTCGGCAAGAGGAGGAAATGAAGGCCAAGGAGGAGGAGCTGAGGAATGCCATGGCCAAGGCTCAGGAACTGGTAGACAAGGTCAAGGATCTGGAAGAGAAGACAGCCACACTCAGCCAGGAGAAGAAGGACCTCACCATCCAACTGCAGGCCGTATGTGGGGTCCTGGGGGTTGCTTCAGTCAGACTCAGGGAGGGAGAGAGAATGAGCTCTTTGAGAAGCTTTCCCTTCATTACAATGAAACTCCACAGCCTTCTCTTTCCCTTCACTACATATCACCACTGATGCAACCACCAAAAAGTTTCCATGAATTATTTGCACACTCAGCCAGCTGGGCCCATTTCACTATGGGCCCTGTGCATGAAAACTATCTTTCCAGGAATGGTGACATGGACTCATGACATGGACACACAGCAGGGGCAGCAGATACAGTGGCAAAACATGACTGATTATGGGGAGCTTGAGCTCCCTTGACTTCCACGCCACCCTGCTGAAAACTTAAGCTCCCCTTATAACCTCGGGTCTCATTAAAATGCAGATTCAGATGCAGCAGATCTCAGGCAGGGCCTAAATTTGCTTCCATAGGCTGAAAATATAACTCTGTGGTAGAACCTTGCCTAGCTTATGTGAGGCTGTTGGGTTGATCCCCAGGACCACCAAGATATAAAGTTTTGCTTCCAGACCAAGCTATTGCTGCTGGTCCAGGAACCACATTCCTAAACAATGCTCTGTCGAATATCTCACAAAAGAAGCTCAGAGACAGCCAGGCCCCTCCACTAACCCCCAGGGCATGTGCCGAGGGTCAGGAGCCTGAGGCTTGTCCACTGTCTTGGGATAGCCCTTTGAGTCCCTGTGGGTAAATGGACTATGTTTGATAGAGACCCTTTCTTCCAACAGGAGCAGGAGAACCTGATGGATGCAGAGGAGCGCCTGACCCAGATGATGAAGTCCAAGATGGAGCTGGAGAGCCAGATCTCTGACATGCGGGAGCGGCTGGAGGAGGAGGAGGGCACATCGGCCTCGTTGAGTGCCAGCAAGCGCAAGCTGGAGGGGGAGCTGAGTGACCTCAAAAGGGACCTGGAGGGCCTGGAAACCACGCTGGCCAAGACAGAAAAAGAGAAGCAGGTGAGCAGCTTCCTGGGTCTACCATGCTCCTCTCAAACTAGGGCACCCCCTAGCCCACTCACCTGCAGGGGCCACACCTAAAGTCCCCACAGTGACAATGCCCGATGCCCTGGCCACTGGCCACGTGGGTATATATAACTTCAATGAATTTGAGAGGACTTAAACACAGCTGCACTAGTCACCTTCCAAATGCTCAACAGCCACACCGTTAAGTGCTTCCATATTGGAAAGCACAGAGAACACTCCCATCATTGTAGAAAGTTCTTCAGGACAGAGAAGCTGAGTGAGGGACAGAGAGCTCTTCTCATAATGGTGACAGGGCCACCATTATGTTGGATATTCTGCCCAAACAAGCATTTTCTGCACCCCACCAGGTGCTCCCCTGACTCCTGATGCCATCTATCTGGCCCTTGGCCCTGAGGCCCCCATCTTGCCCTGCAGGTGGGTGGGGTTCACAAGCTGGGTAAGGTGCAGTTGACAGGACTGCAGGGCCTGAAGGGTCCTTGTTTCTAGTAATGTCGCTGCTGATGCCTGAGGACCATGTTTGAGTAGAAGAAGGCTGACTGTTGGTTTTCCCTGCTCCCCTCCACCCCTGACATCCAGCCTTGGGTGGTCTGGGACATGCCCCTGGTGTTGATATTTCCCAAAATCCCTGAAGACCCCAGAATGCAGTCAGGCAGGTGGAGAGCTCCTTTTCTCCTCCCCACCAAAGCCAATTCCCACTTTAAGGACCCCTCTCTCTCCCTGCCTGTTTCCAGGCTCTGGATCACAAGGCCCGCACCCTGTCAGGAGACCTCTCCCTTCGTGAAGACAACATCGCCAAGCTCCAGAAGGAGAAGAGGGCCCTGGAGGAGCTGCACCAGGTGGGCGCCCCCTGCCCTTCTCCTTGGCAGAGCAAGTGGAGTGTGTCCAATACATTTTGCATATGGAGACTGCAGACCACCTTCAAATTCTGCCATTGCCGCCCCTCAGCTCAGGGGCCTCGGGGAAAACAAGGCATCTCCCTAAGTCTTAATTCCCTCATCAGTGAGGTGGGTGTGGTTGCCTCCTGCTGCCTGCCTCCTAGGTTCATTCTAGGTAGGATGACTATTTAATTTGTCACCCAAACTAGGAGAGTTTTGAGAATGAAAGGGGGAACCATTAATTATCGTGAGTCAGGTAGGTCCCAGAAACACTGTGAGGTGTGTCACTGAAGCTGTATGGAAATGCCCTGTGAGCTCTAAAGCCCCAGGGTCTTCAATATAGCATGACAACGGCAGGCCACAAGTTCTTTAGGTCATGGGGGAGCCCCATTTTCCCATCCCAAAGCTGCTGTTACAGAGGTTCCTGAATGCAGAGCCAGTGCTGACTGGCCACCAGTGCTGACCAGGGCACAGAGTGCCTCTGCAGCCAAGGGAAAAGAGCAAGTCAATGCCCAGAGCAGACGGTGGAGCCATATATTAACTGACACCATGAATCCAGTGCATGTTCCTGGAGCTCCTCTTCCTGCTGCCTCTCGGACTGCCTCCCATAGGCTGTGATTCTCAACCTATCAGACCCAGCGCCCCCTTTCATAACAACTATAATTGATCCTTGCTATTTGTGGTAACTTTATTGACCATAAAGTTACCACAAGCATCAGACTAGCAAATACAAGCCACAACTCCTAGGGGGAAATGCAGGGTTAGCTGCTGTGAGCCTCTGGTCTTAATATTTTTGTCAACCAGTCGATACATAACACATAGAATTATAACCAATATGTTACTTTGTTTTATGTGTTTTTGTTTTGAAATGTCTTATTTTGATACCATTCCTGACTCATTAATATCAAACCATGGCTAATATACTGCAGCTTAGGCCTGAACAAAGCTTACCTAATTCCTGTGTTTTCTCTACAAGGGACTCTGAAGCCCTCTTCTGCTTAGGACACTAGCTAGACAGCACTGCAGAACTATGCTTGGGGCCATTTTAAACAAAAAGCAAACAAAAAAATATGGCACTCAGTGGAGCATAAAAATGACACTCCTTTACATTATGAGAGCTGAAACAAGGGCAGGTGTCACATTGTTCAGCCACAGCTGGGAATGTGCACATTGGGCAATTCAAAATTTCCCCACTGTGTGCATATTTACAAATGACCCTGAGAGCTCCAAGAGTATTGATTTGTAATTACAGCTACATTTTAGCATGTAGGCGAATGGGCAAAGCAGGGATCCGAGTACTGAGGCTCAAGTATATTTTGGAAAGCTCTCTTAGCTATCCTGAACTCAAAATTATAAATAACATATAACTCCAAAAAAATCGATAGCATGCCCTTTGATATAAAGGAGAAATTAAGGGAAAGTAAATTATAATAAATAATGCACCTATCGATATGTAAAAGCTCTGGCAGATGGACCAGGAGGCATCTTTGATGGTTGCAGGCCACACAGGAGGATGCGCTACGAGTTGGCCACCAAGGTGCAGCGGCTGTCATCTATACGGATTTTATAGAATTGGGAACAGTCCCTGGGAAATTCTTTGGAATAATAACAAATCCTCTCTCAAGCTTCCATGGCAGATCATTCTTGAAAAATGACTAAATGAAAAAGAGTGTTGAATTACGTGTAAAGTGGGCTTGGGTTTTAGGTTCAGATGAATATAAATGGCTATTTCACTTAGATAACTTCCTGGGTGGGACATCAGGCCTGTAAACTGCAGAATTGTTCTTTATGAGGCCAGATTGTCCAGAGGAAGATAGGATGTCCAGGAGGCCTGGAATCACCCAGAGACAAATGTCAGTGGAGACTCCAGTCATTGTGACAAGCAGAAGCACTGTATAGATTTCCAATATCCTCTGGAGAACCAGGGCCTCCAATGACCCCCCTGAGAGCCACCTATGGTTGATGGGTGCTCAGGTCTGTCTTTCCTGGCCTCCCCCACTGCCCAGGAGCAGCCCCCAGTAGCTGTTCACTGAAGTCAACTCGAGTCTC